CACTACCACAAATCCAGGAAATTACCCATCATCCCAGGCGTTCCTTGAAAATTGTGAATTATTTAAGATTTTAAATCATTTCCCAGTGTCTTCTACAGCTTAAATTGCTGATCTAGTAAATCCTGGTACATTTTGCTCTAGTAAACATCAATTTCAAGGGTAATTAATGTATTCTTCAAATATGAGTAATTTAAATTTTGTGTTTAAATTAAAACCTGTTGTTAAAACTGTTAAATTCAGTCCAAGAAAAATGAAACAGCTGTTTAAAACTTCTTCTCATAAAATATATTAGACATCCTGAATTAGAATGTATATAAATCTAGAATTTAGAGCATTTAAGAGATGATTTGTAAATCCTGGCAGTTTAGCATGAACCTCCCCAAAAGACTCCACTGCAAACTCAGGATTTAGAAAGGCTGTGGTTAAATTTTCTCTTATCTTCTGAGGGGAATACCGGTATTTGTGGCATCTCTTCATTTGTGATAACACATCAAAAAGCATCTTATTCTGAAAGGCAATACATGTGGAAAGAATAACTTAATAGTATATTATTATTGCAGTTTCTGCATTGTCTAAAAACCCATTTGATTTATGAGTTCTTCAATATCTACTATGATAGCACTGAACAGATATTTCAGTTATGGCACAACATTTCTGTCAACACAGTTTTCCTTCTTAAATACCATTTTAAAATTTTATTAAGAACTGTATTTTAGGAAGTAATAGTCCCTTTTAATTACACTAAGGCATTAGACAAACTGGCCCCAAAATACTGAAGTATGAGTGTTGCGATAAGGAAAGTCTAAGCCAGCTAGGTGCTTATAAATTTCACTTTGATAGTTTTAATGTAAATATTTAATTCTAGGCATTATTTATAGCATATGATACTTGTTCAAATAATGTGGTGTAATGAGTTATTTTATAAAACAAAGATTGGTAGGAAATAGAAAATATAGTAATACCCTAATGCTGCTGTAACAGATGACCACAAATTTAGTGTTTTAAAACAACAGATTTATTATCTTAACAGTTCTAGAGATCAGAAATCTTAAAATCAAGATGTTAGCAGGGCTGTATTCGTTCTAGAGACTTAGGGGATTATCCGTTTCTTGCCCTTTTTTCAGCTTTTAGAGCCACCTGCATTGCTTGATTCATGGACTTTTGCACTAGTTTCAAAACCAGCAGCATACATTTTCATTATCTATCTGTCTATCTCTATATGCATATACATTAAATGACCTGATAATTATTAATATAGGAAATTTTCATTCTTTTTTCAAGTATATTTTATTGATTATGCTGTTACAGCTCTCCCATTTTTTCTCCTCTTTATCCCCCTCCTCCCTGTACAGCTCCTCCCAAGAGCATTCCTTCTACCCTTTTAGTTCATTTCCATGGGTTGTACATGTAAGTTCTTTAGCTTCTTCATTTCCTATACCATTCTTAACCTCCCTCTGTCTATTTTGTACCTACAAATTATGCTACTTATTCCCTGTACCTTTTCCCCCATTCTTCTCCCTCCCCCTACCCACTCATAACCCTCCACGTGATCTCCATTTCTCTGATTCTGCTCCTGTTCTACGTGTTTGCTTAGTTCGTTTTTTGTTTTTTTATGTTCAGTTATTGATAGTTGTGTTTGTTGTTATTTTACTATTCATAGTTTTGATCTCCTTTTTCTTAGATAAGTCCCTTTAATATTTCATATAAGGTATTGGTGATGATGAACTCCTTTAACTTGATCTTATCTGGGAAGCACTTTTATCTGACCTTTCATGCTAAATGATGGCTTTTCTGAATAAAGTAATCGTGGATGTAGGTCCTTGCCTTTCATGACTTGGAATACTTCTTTCCAGCCCTTTCTTGCCTGCAGGCTTTCTTTTGAGAAATCAGCTGATAGTCTTACAGAAACTCCTTTATAGGTAAGTGTCTCCTTTTCTCTTGCTGCTTTTAATATTCTCTCCTTCTCTTCAGTCTTGGGTAATGTAATTATGATGTGCCTTGGGGTATGCCTCCTTGGGTCCAACTTCTTTGTGACTCTCTGAGCTTTCTGTATTTCCTAGAACTCTGTTTCCTTCATTATGTTTTTCAAATAAGTTTTCAATTTCTTGCTCCTCCTCTTCTCCTTCTGGCACCCCTATGATGATACAGATGTTGGAACATTTAAAGATGTCCTGGAGATAGGAATGAGCCTCTCCTCATTGTTTTGAATTCTTGTTTCTTCAATCTCTTCTGGTTGAATGTTTATTTCTTCCTTCTGTTCCAAATCATTGATTTGAATCCCGGTTTCCTTCTCTTCACTCTTGATTCCCTCTATATTTTTCTTTATTCCACTTTGTATAGCCTTCACTTCTTCCTTTATTTTGCAGCCATACTAAATCCTTTCTGTGAGCATCCTGATTACCAGTGTTTTGAACCCTGAAGCTGATAGGTTGGTTATCTCTTGGTTGCTTTTGCTTAGTTGTTTCTCTGGAGTTTTAATCTGTTCTTTTATTTAGGCCATATTTCTTTGCCTCATTGCACCTGTTATGTTGTAAGGGGTGGAGCCTTAGGTATTCACTAGGGCAGGGCAACCCACTTTGCTGTGTTGTGGGGCTGTATGTGGGGGAGGGGTCAGAGAGGAAACAGTTCCTCTTGCTCAGCTCTCAGCTGGCTTTCAGTCACTTTTGCCACTACCCACAAGCAAAATGGGCCCTTCTGATACTGATTCCCAGGTGGGTAGGTTTTTGTACGTTCTAGGACCTTGTGGGTCTCCAGCGGATTCTCCTGTGAGACTGGGAGTTTCTGCTGCTACCTCAACCCCCACAGGTTTTTACAGCTAGAGGTTTTGAGGCTTTATTTCCCTATGCTGGAACCCTGGGTTGCATGGTTGGTCTTACCCCCTAGTTGTTTCTTCTGGTTAATCCCATTTATCTGCACACAAATGTGGGATCCCTAGTGCATCAGCCACCGCCTCGCCCACCCAGTCCTCCAGCCACTGCTTTCCCAGGCATCCTCTCTACCCTGGCTGCCAGTCTCCCCTCCTACCAGTCTAGATGAATGTTTCTTCTTTAACTCCTTGGTTGTCGGACTTCATACAATTTGATTTTCTGGCAGTTCAGGTTACTTTTTGTTTTAAAATTTGTTGGTATCCTCCTTTTGGTTGTGTGAGGAGACACAGTGTATCTACCTATGCCTCCATCTTGGTTGAAGTCTCGAAAATTTTCTTTCATATATGATCTTAAAGTGATCCATCATTCCCATAGTGGAATGCATATCAAAGTAAAATTCTCTTCAACATGAAGAAGGGTATGTGATGAATTTATAACCATCTAAACATGGTTAGTGATTTTACTTACTTTGTGTGTGTGTATGTGTTTTAATTTTCTAATGTAAATCTGGATTAACTCCTAGAATAATAGAAAAGTATTTTATGACTGAGTTTTTCATTTAAGAATTAAATTAAGTATTTCTCAATAAATCTCTACATTTCTTTATAAATTGATGAGATTGCCAATGCCCTATTGTTACAGAACACAACAAGGGGGGGGCCTGGGACGATATACTATTATTGAAAGAAGGCCCCGGGTCCATTATGTCCGCCGCCCTAGGAAAGACATCTCTCAATGCCAGAGATTTGTGAAAAGGAAAGGAAATGTTTATTTAATGCTATACAAACTTCAAGTAGTGACCTAATGTCTTTATCAAAAATCCTAAAGTCCCTAAAAAAACACCCACAAACAGACACAGTCCTTCCTTCCTTCCCCCTTTGCCCAGTCCAGAGTACCGTATCTCAGGAAAGGAAATAGAAGTCCATGGCTCAGGCAGTCCTCTGGTTCTTCCCAGTTAGTACTCCATCTCGACTGGGAGACCTCCTTGCGTTCCCGGCACCCTCAGCTGAGTCGCCAGGATCTCTGCTAAAACCAGGTGGTGGTTCCCCCTTCTAAAGCTGCGGGGGTCCCCACTCTGGCAAAGGCACGTGGTCCTCTCTCCCAGGGCCACGGGAGTCTCCACTCTGTCAAGGCCGCGTGGTTCCCTCTCAGGGCTGCAGGAAGGGAGAGTCCCCACTCTGTCCAGGCCGCGTGGTTCTCCCTCTCTCAGGGCTGCTGCATGGTTCACCTTCCTAAAGCAGTATGGTTCTCCTTCTCAATGGCTGCTGCCTCTGGATTTTAAATCACCGTGCCCGCTTTCCTCTGCAGCCCCATTTCCGACTCCTCCCACACTCAGCTTCACATGCCAGAACTCATATCCTTCTAGCTTTACTGGGCTGCCATCATGAGTCTGGGCAGGTGTGGCCCCATGTCCTGGAGCCAGTCTTCTCCAAGCTCCCACGCAGGCGCTGTAACTTGGGGGACCTGCCCCCCAGTTATGTCTTGGTGGGGAGATCCCTTTCCATCCCCCTGGCCTTGAGCCTGGCCATAGCTATTTAGCATATTTAAGCAACCAGCCAAAGGCTATAGGTATGTTAAATGACCACGCCATGGATTAGCTGCAAAGCTGCCCTGCATGCTCTTGCTATGTGTGCCCCTTCCCCCAACTCACACCTGTGGGGGAAGGGGTGAAGACACCTTAAAATCTCCTGGACACCTTGAGTTCTGGACCCCATTTCAAATGCCTATTTGGGATCCCCCCTCTTGGCTGCACCTTGTAACACTATGTCATTAAAATAAGTAAAAATTTAAGCTTATGTGTTCTTAAATTAACATTTTGAATTATTTCAATCTTATTTCTATCAAGGAAATGTTTTTATTCTGGAGATTTTATGACACATTGGATTTTCTGGCTTTTGTAGACTCTGAATGTAGTTGTTTTAGGGAGATTAGCTCTTAAATTTATTTTGCTATGGCTGTTTTTCATAGCATGCTCATTTCTTACTGTGTGTGATAGGAATTGTTCTTTTCTAAAATTAAGAATTTATTTGATATAATATTTCTTCAAAACATAGGAAGGAATTTAACTCAATAATGACAGTTTAAAATTAGATTTATAACTAAAATTACTTTTTGTGTGTTTTTTTTTTACAGGAATTGAAACCTGATATAATAACGAAATCTGCTCTTGGTGATGATATCAATTTTGAAAAAATCTGCAAAAAGGTATATCTGCAGGGGGCTTTATTTTATTTTATTTTTTTAGGAAGAGTTTCTTATTTATATTTTTGACTTTTTCCTTGATGGTTTCTCATCAAAAAGCCAGGTTGTATAAGTATATAATGAATTTTCCCCACTTGCACTCCAGTATTGCCACCAAAAAAAAAATATGGTAATTTATGAATTTTGCTTTGATATGTTATTAAACTTTCAAGGTCTTTAAAGGTATGTTGAACTAAATACAGTTCCTATGACTTAGATAGCAGTTTGTCAGTCTTACGTATTCAAACAAATAATCATTATTTTTATTCTTTCCAAATCATTTTCTTGAATATTTCTCTTAAATCCTGCATTTACCCTGTGAACCATTATATTTAACCCCCATTTTACAAATGAGAAAAACTGAAAGATTGTAGTGAGGTGATTAAGCTACTCCATGATTTTGTGGCAATTAGGACTTTACCCAGATCATCTGGCTCTTGGATTTACCAGTCCTGCTTCTTCTTACTTGTCTTTTTATATTTCCTCCCACTTTGCAAATGCCTCCATAAGAGAGTTCCAGTCTCAGGACAGATTTTGGGTTGACTGATTTTTCTGTATTGCTTTTTTGTTTTCACTTTCATTGACATTAGCTCTACTCTATATTATTGGTTTCTTGCATTTGTGTTTACTTTGTACTTCTAGTTTCTTAATGTAGAAACAAATTACTCATTTTGGACCTTCCTTTCTAATATAAGCATTTAATGCTCTAAATTTCCCTCTAAGGACTACTTTAGCTACATCCCATATATTTGATGTTGTGTTTTCATTTTATTTGAGTTCAAAATATTTTGAATTTCCCTTGAAACTTTATCTTTGACCCATGGTTTAATTAGAAGTATATTCTTTAATTTCTAGCAACTGGGGAATTTTTCCGGGTATATTATTTTACTGCTGTTGTCTTTATGATACATGAACATACCTTTTTTTTTTTTTTTTGAACTTTATTATTTGGGTTGTGGCTTATCTTGGTGACTATTTTATGTGCCCTTGAAAACAATATGTATTCTATTGGGATCGGTGTCCTGTAAATGTCATTAGGTCAAATTGGTTGATGCTGTTCAGGTGATTTATATCTTTACCAATTTACTTCCTGCTTGTTATATTGATTACTGAGAGAGGTATGTCACAGTCCCCAACTGGAAATGTCAGGTTGTCTATTCCAGCCTTAAGCAAAAAAAATACTCTTATTCTGTATTTATGTAGACTAGCACAGACTTCTCTACAATTAATTGTTGCTAGACATGTTAAATGTTAAAGTATTTTATTGTAAGAAGGCCAGAATATAAGTGTTTTGTGTGCTGAGGAGCATGAGGATTTGTTGTTGCCATCATTGTCCTTGTCAGAAGCAACACCGAAGTCATGAGCATGATGTTACAACAGCCTCTTTACATTACTGTGGTTTTATGGTACACGTTATTTCATAGGATTCACTCATAAAAATGGGAAAATTTGGGGTTTTTTATAGTTTTCAACTTGTAGTTTGGTCTATATCTCACACAAAATAATGACACCTTAAATAGAATAGTGGTAATGGTATTTTATACCATATTTTTATATGGGAGAATATATTTTTGTTTTCTCATGAGAGTTTAAAAAAAAAAGTTGAAGCTTTTTACCAGAGTGAATTATTTTGAACTTTTTGGTTGCTAGTTCTGAAAGTATTTTAATGTTTAATTTGTGGTGAAAGTGAAAAGTAATTTATTTTTAGTTCCTTAATAATATTATGTTTTCATCTGAACTCTTAACAGTAACGCTTGGCAATACTTATCACTTAACTTGAACTTGGAAATATCCAAAATAAAATATCCTGTGTCTTTATTTTTTAACTTCTCAGCCAGATTATTTTCACTTTGAGAAGTTTAGTAGCAGTTAATGTATGTGTGATATATGTAAAATTAGTATTTTAGGGTATGGGCTGTCGTCCATTTACATACAGCCCTTTGTTCAACCTTCCAGTGTTTGAAATATCATTTAACTTGAAAGTGGGGAAACAAACATCTATATTAGCTTATCAGTATTTTGTAATAGTAAAGTCATTTGTATATAACTGGATTTGTAGGCATGTGATGTGTAATAGTAATTAGATGAAAAGTTTAGGATCTATGTGACTGAAATGTTGTGAAGTGAAACCTGATTACATTTCTGCTCTTTTGTACCTTCCTCCAACAAAAGAGGAAGGAAGGGAGGTTGAAAGGAAGGGAAAACATTTCTGTTTCATCCAAGTTCTTTAGAGATCCTTGAGGGAGTTAAAGCCAAAGGAAACTGCCCTGCCTAAGAATCCTTTCAGTTTCCTCCTAAGCTGTTTGATTTCAGTGATGTTGTTACTATTTTATTTCATTTGTGATGTTCTTCCACTGAATTCAAATTCTTCCATGTCAAAATCTGTTAATAAATTAAACCTCTCTAAAAAGGTGAGGCAGGCAGTAGATGTCTGGGAGGGAGGACTGATTAATAATAATTCATTTGCCATTGGAAGGGAGCTCAGTGGAAGATGACCAAATAGGAAATAAGGATACTTACATAGAGCTCTGCACATTTGAGGCTATGTGACCATCGGAGTAGAGCAGACCAAATCAGTTTGTATGACCTTTTGCAGCTTGCACAGATTTTTATGCACTCTTATCTCAGTTGATCTTTAGAAAGTATAAAAGTCATTGCATATAGAAAACATTCTTGTGTGTGTGTGCACATGAGTGTGTATATGTGGTAATAGTAGTAGTGCTTTATTTTTCAAATAAAGGAAAGGGGGTAGAAAGGTTAAGTAGCCAGTTAATATGTGTATGATGAGAGTTTAAAGCTAGAGAGTTTAGGGACTGGAACACTGACATTTCCAGACAGCTGTTGCCAAATTTTCAGGTCTCAGTTCAAAACATCTGTTGCATGGATAGCAATTGGCTAGACACTGTGGAAGATATAAAGGGAATAGATGACAATATTTTCTACAGGACTATATAATCCAGTAGAAAATAAAAGACAGTTATTATTAAACAGTTTTAGGATAAAGGAAAGCAAATAGATATTTGTTAACATGTACCAGTTACCTGACTAATTAGGTGCTTTACAATATGTTAGCTTTCTCAGGGAAGATGATGATAACCTCATTTAACACATAAGACAATGGGCCCAAAAAGGTCAAAAATATACTGTAGTCAGGCAGTAGGAAATGGCAGATCCAAGATCTAAACCCAAGGTTCTTGTTTCGGCCTATAAAATCAAAGTTTAGGACAAAAGGATGGAGTGAGCTTCCATATATGTAAAACTGCATTTTAGAATCATGGTGTTAACAGGGATTATAGGTTCAACAAATGCAGAAAGTCTCTTGGTCCCTTAAATATGAACTCTAAACCTTAGTTTACTTAGTTGCCACACTTCTTCGAATTCAGTTGAATGGACTATTTCTCATTTTCTCCCTAAATGTGTTTTGGTAAGCACAAATAGTCATGTGTTGATTTATATCTGTAGGTAAAACCTAGAATTGAAATTAAGTCCAATTAATATTGAAAGTACTGCTGCTAGTATTCTGCTTCTGCCAATTCACGTAGAGTCAGTTTGTTTTAGGCGTCATTTCACAGGAATGGATACTGCATGTAAGAGCTTTTTCATTTTTAGACTGTTGTTTATATTTACATGTACATTCTCAAAATTCTCTTCAAAATTGAACACCAAATGCTTTGTGCTCATAGTAAATCCCATATGCCAAAATAAAAATTTTCCATTAAAAAATTAGGTGTTTTCCCTTTTTTATTTCATTTATTTGAAATGGAAGAAACTGGAGGTGTGTTAAACCACAGTTTCCTGAGAATTTTCCATGGCAGACATTGTGTCAACTTTAAATAAGGAAAGCTGTGGTTTCTTTCATACCCCTCAATATTGTGAAGACTTTCATGCAGGTGTAAAAACTTTATTCACAGAGACTACTTAGCCTTATAAACTTCAAAATAAATTTATTTAAATTTAAGGTGTATAACGGTATTTGAAATTTTTCTATAAACCTCCAAAGCATTTTCTGTCTCTCCTATGAAGTTTATCACATTCTGCCTTAGAATAGTTATTTGTACATTAGTCTTAACCTTTTAAATTAGAACAAGATTATGATCCTCAAAAGAGGGTGTTTGTCTTTATGTATAACACCACACCTTCATATAACAAGTCATGTTTAATGTAAATACAAATATAAATATGACTACATATAAAGAGGGAGAAAGTAAGTGAGGAGGGAAGATGGACAGGAGAGAAATTAAGGAGAGATAAACCAAGTCCGTGGTAACAGAGGCTGCCTGCCTATTCTTGTGAGTTCCTACACTAGCCCAGTGCCTTTAGCTAATTGCTGCAGAGACCCCAAGCACTGCCAAAGGTGTGAACCTGAGCCTGCTTGCTTCACAAGCCTCTTGGTTTTGTTTTGTTTATTGTTTATATATGATTTCTTTTCACAAAGGTTTGAGAGGGGCTTGGAGTTGGGTCACAAAATGAAAGAAAGTTATCTCAGTTTGAAACAAAACTTGTATTTCAACAACTATACTCATACTAGACTGAAATCAGAAACCTAACTTTGATACGTGTAGCTCTTAAACTGCTTGATTTAAAGAAAGTTAGTTACAAATCAGATTTTATAAATTCCAGCAATCATTTAAACTTTTCTTTGTCCTAAGTAAAAAATGTCAAATTTAACACTTTAAATTAACTTTAACTTTATTTTTCATAAAGCAATTAAAAGTCATTCATTTAATTTTTTAAATTTAAATTTTAACAAGAGGTAGAGGGAACACAGATCAAATATTGTATTTAATAGCTATATCAGCAGTTTTAACCTGATTTCAATATTACATAGCCAGTTTCCTAACACAAGCCTGTATTTTCTGAACACACTGCTGTCACATATGGCTGCATTAACTAACTGTATACTGCACACTCCAGTTGTGGCAACTCCTGCGTGAGTGGCAGGCCTGGGATTATGCAGTGCAATGACTTTTTAAAAATTAATCTTGCTTCTTATTAGCCTGGTATTTTCCCCAAAATAAATCCTCCACAAAGGTTGCAACATAAATATACAGTTATAGAGAAAGACATAACAGATAACGCCTTTATTTATTAGATTAATGCACAATTGTAAAATTTTAAACTTATTTTAGAGCCTTTTTTTAAAAAAATACAGAATTTACTGAAATTGGATCATTAAGTCACTCTGATATCTTCCAGGGCAGAGAAATAACATTGGTAAATAAACTCAACCATAAAATGATTGTTAACGAAACAGTATTTACCCCGAGTCAACACTAGACATGCAGGTATTACCACTGCTCTTATGAAACTTTTTATAACTAAGATGGAAAGTTGTAGCTAACTCTGGAAAGGAAAGTGCCCAATTCATCACAGCTTTTAGCAAGTTGTCAAAGCAGGGATTTGGGAACAGTAGTAGATATGTTTTGGGCAATTATACATGAATACATTGTCAAAACCTACTAGGATTCCTAAAATATTTTATCTAAAAATGTGAAATTAACCCCTATGATGAGAATAGTTGCTTTCTAATTTATTTGTTTTATAAATTCATATGTTCATATATTGGGGATTATCTTGAAGCAGATTTTTAGTTGCTTCAGGAAATATTCTGAGATAAGCAGTTAAATAGCTGCTGCTGGAGGGTCCTCTTTGCCCTTGTAACCTGAAGAAGGGCAGGCTCCTGTGGTGTGTATAATGGTTGGTTGTCAGGACTAGTTGTTTTGGTTGTCATTGTTGCTGTATTTACATTACATGTGAATGTTCTGGGAATTGGCCTGAGGACTAAAGGTATTGGCGCTGCATTGAGTATCAGATTGTTTCCACTAAGCCAGAATCTTCACTTACCTCACCATTCAAGGAGGCACAGTTAGTGCTCTAACCAGTTGCCTTGATTTGGCAACAAAAATGTCTGTTGGTGATGTTTTTGTTCTGAACTTAACTTCTAAACATCATGAACCTGCTGATTTTTTAAATTTTTTTTCAGTTTATCCCCATGAAGTATTCTACTTGCATGTATTTAGAGCAAGTGTCACACACACCTTTTTCCATAAAGAGACCCTACAGTAAATATTTTAGGCTTTGCACGCCATACAGTCTCTGTCTCAACTAGTCAACTCTGCCACTGTGACATAGTGCAACCGTATGTAGTATATGAATGAATGAACTTGGCTGTGTTCCCATGAAACTTTATTTTAAAAAACAGGCGGCAGGTAAGAACTGGCACATGGGCCAGTTTGCTCACCACCCGTTAAAAGAATCAAATACTTCTACAGGGTTTCTTTCTGAAACTGAAAGGTCTTTATTAGTTTTTACCCACTTTCAAATTCAGTTGATTTTTACAGAATTTATCCCCACATCATTCTTTTTTCATTAATATACTTTAAGCTGTAGCTGTTGACATCCTGCTGTGGTCTGTAAGGATTTAGATCTCATTCCTTCTCCATGTCATTTATGTACCTTTTCATCCTCCTAATATATGTGAGCCAAATTTAGATTAGTTGAACATTTTATGATTATTTTGACTAGAAGTCACATCGTGAGTAATTACTTTTCCTTTTCTACATATTTTTATTTCCTATAGCTTTATCATTGTTATGTTTATTTTGTAGTTTTCTGTCTTCTTTCTAATGTAACACCAAACTCCTCAACAGTTAACTGAAATCTCCTCCAAAGTTATTTAATACACCAGGTGTTCCAAATCTAAATCTTTTGTCACCATCCTGGTGATTCCTGTTGCCTGATCTCCTCTTCTTTATATCCCATGCTTTCCTCATTTTTTGTGTGTCCTTCATTTTAGCGGAGCAGTAGCTTCTTGGGAGAAAGGTTCAAGGGATGTAATAAACTTCTTTAAACCTTGCATGCCTCAAAGTGTTTTTATTCTTACCTAGTTTGAAAATTTTTTTCTGCAGAAATACAGAAGCATCTCTCCATTGTCTTTTGACCTTTGATTCTGATTCCTGAATTGTGTGTGTGTGTGTGTGTGTGTGTGTGTGTGAGATTTGTACTTTTCCTTCTGAAAGTTTGTAAACCTCGATATTCTGATGTTACTCTACTTTAATATATTGTGTTGAGTCTTTTCACCCTGAAAAATCATGTCCTTTATTGGGGGTTCTGTGCTACAGCTTTTATTATGTTTTTTATAAAACTCAAGTAAGCATGTTTGACCCATAAACTTCAGCAGCCCAGCTTCTTACTGAGTGATTCAGGTGGTCCTGGTGCAAGATTTGCACCAGGTATAATTTAAAGACATAATTCTGGGTGACATTACCTAGATTAGTCTTTCAAACAGAATAGATTTCAAACTGTCATCATCTTGCTTTTACTTAGATACTCATAGGTTTGATTACTGGAAGGGGGAAAAATCCTTATATTGGACTATTTACCATGAAGGATAAATTCAAAATTAAGACATTTGAAGCTGGTAGTTCTATTTTAAGACACCAATGAAATTTACTCACTTTATGGAATGTTTATTGAGTGCCAAGCTACTCTTACCTGTTACTGTTGTGTAGGCACTGGGTCTACAGCAGTGAAGAAGACAAAGTCTGCTTTACAGATAAGCAAATATCTGCACTGGCATGAAGTATTGGGTGTGTGAAATAATCAAGGAGTGATGGAAACTGTTGTGCGAGTTTAGATAACATTTTAGTAGAGACCTGACTACAGTGAGATGATCAGTCTTTGAAAGTAGAGTGTTCCAGGTAGAGAAGATCTTTCGATGGCAGCCAAGAACAGATAGCATGACCTGGTTATATATAAAAGTTCATTGGGACTGTTAGAGGGAAAATTGGCTGTGGGGGAGCAAGATGTTAAGGAGGGTGACCAAGGTGTGAACTTATTACATTGGTCTGAGTGAGAAGACTATTGGTGAGTTGGTCAAAGACAGTAAGAGTAGAAATGGTGAGAAGTGATTGGTTCTGCGTGTATTTTGCAGTTGGGCCCACAGGATTTGCTGAAGAAATCATTTTGAGATGTGAAGGAAGGATAAATATAATGGAGGAATCCTTTGAGTTTTAGGCCTGCAAACCAGAAAAATTGAAATTATGTGCAATAAGATGGGAAAGGTTATAGTAAAAGTAGGTTTGAGAAGAAAATCAAAGAATTCTCTTTTTTAACTATCAAGTAGGTAGTTGGCTTATATGAGTCTATAGCTCAAGTTAGAGCTGGAGGTAGAAATTTGGAAGTATCAGCCTACATATGATTTTTAAAGCAGTTAACCCAAATTATAAAATTTCTAAATTTATAAATACATTACATATTAGGTGTAATCTGTTTGTATTGAGTCATCATCCTATTTTATAAAGTGTTGGCTATAATCTAGGCACTGGTGAGAGGCGAGAATGCAATAGTAACACTGGACAAAATGTAAGTATATAGGATGAGGTAATTTCTAGGTATCTATTAAATGGAAGTACATACATTAAAATAGTTGTAAGTTATATCATTGAGTTTAATGCTGCATGTCATTTGATTCTTTCATATTAATTTAGTTGTAATTTGGTCTTTTAAGTTCTTTGAAAGGATGAGCTATATTATATATCTTTAATATCACGCGTGATGCTTATCACAATTTTGGAAAGATATTAAGTACCCAAAGAATATTTACACAGTGATTATAATTGTTCAAGGCCACTGGTATTTTTGTCGGTATGAATTTTATTGTTCAATTTACAGCCTGATTCTACTGCAACTGAAAGAGCAACTGCCAGATTAGCAACGCACCCTCTTCTGAAGAAAAAAATAGATGTGCTAAAAGGTACAAATTAAATGACTTTTAAACCCTGTACTTATATGTATTTGTGCCCATTATTTTGACTAAGTGGCTGTTGATTTATTTGTATTTTTGGTTTTTTATCCTTTCAAGGAATTTTTTTTTAAGAGAGAGGGAAAGGAAAGGCGAGAGGGAAAGAAGCATCAGTGTGTGGTTGCCTCTCACGCACTCCCCACTGGGGACCTGGCCTGTAACCCAGGCATGTGCCCTGACTAGGAATCGAACCAGTGACCCTCTGGTTCGCAGCCCATGTTCAGTCCACTGAGCTACACCAGCCAGGGCTCAAGGATCTTTTGTATTATGAATATCTCTTTCAAATATCTCCATACATCGGAATAGGCTTGAATATATGGAAGGTATCTGGTATCTGAAGAAAAACTAAATCTGTGTTTTTTCCTAAGTTCTATTATGTGAATATATACTATATGTTCATGGTAATGTTGAATACAGTTTTCTAATTATTGATGTAATTCATATTATTACTTGCGATGTTGCCACTACTTAGCCACATAATTTTCATTTATGTGTGTATATTGAATTAAATGCTTTTGTCACTGAAGATATTTATTTTTATGTCTGAAAGCCAATTTATAATGCTCTACAATTATATCAATATATTATTCCTACAGAAATTAAAGTTGCCATTTTTTAAAATTTATTTGCATCCAGCGACGTTTTTACTCTGCTTCAAAACTCCAAGGCATGCAATGATGGGAGATATTTTTGTTTTAAGATTTTATTTATTTATTTTTAGAGAGAGGGGAAGGGAAGAAGAAAGATCAGTGTGTAGTTGCCTCTGTTGTGCCCTCAACCAGGGACCTGGCCTGCAACCCAGGCGTGTTTCTGACTAGGAACTGAACCAGCGATCCTCTGGTTCACAGGCCAGCCCTCAATCCAGTGAAACCACACGAGCCAGGACTTTTTTTTTTTTTCAGATTTTAAATGGATACTCCTGAGCATTCTTTTAAGTTTGGTTTCTAAAAAGTTAATAGATTTCTTTGTGAATTAAGACCCATTCACTATATATACAGTCATGCATCACAAAACAACAAGCATACACTCTGAGAAATGCATTGTTAGGGCATTTCATAATTATGCGAACATCATAGAGGGAGAGCATTTAACACACGTAGATGGTATAGCCTGCTAGATACCTAGGCTCCATTGTAATCTTATGGGCCCACCATCATATATACTGTCCATTGTTGATGGAAACGTCATTGTGGAGTACATGATTGTATTTAATATAATGTATAAGTAATCCTAAATGTTTGTGAGTAATTTTAGAAACACTATACTGGAACAGTGACATTTTATATTATTTGTTCACTGCTGATACAAGTCATATACTATTTCTCTTGCAGCTGCTGTCAAAGCCTTTAAAGATGCGAGACAAAATGATACTGAAGCTCAGTCATCAAAGAATACTTCAGAAGAAAAGTATTCCAAGGACACTTCAGGTTCAAGTGATGATGCCATTAAGTCACAGTATGAAGGAGCTATTGTCAGTGAGCAGAAAGACAAAGAACCCAAAATGTTGGTGAAGAAATCAGTAAATAGTTCAAAAGAAAAAATAGCCAAGATGGAACACGGGTCCAAAACAGTGGACATTCCAAATTCTCCATCAAAGCCTTCTGAAAAGGATTCTGTAGTTCCCTATGAACCCCAGAAAATACCTGCTAACCGAAAAATGAAATCATTATGTCAAAACACAAAAAAGGAAGTGCCCAAGAGCTCACTTGGTGAAAACAGTGATGGAGAAGAATTACACGAAGAAGAGAAGGAGTATTTTGATGACAGCACAGAAGAAAGGTTTTACAACCAGTCTTCCATGTCTGAGGATAGTGACAGTGGTGATGACTTCTTCATTGGGAAAGTCAGACGGACACGAAAGAAGGAAAGTAATTGTCATTCTTCAGTTGTAGAACAAAAATTCCCCCAAAAGGTGTCCCCTGAAGAGCATATACTTGAAACCCATCAGGGTATAAGAAATGACAAAAACAAGCCAAGTACGGAAAGAAGGAAGTTTGAATCAGTGTTTTTCCACTCTTTATCTGGATCTGAAAGCTCTAGAAGGTAATTATATTTTTGTGTTCTGAAATAATTATGAGCTTTAAAAAAAATGTTAAAATAATGAGAGAAGAGGTTGCCTGTCATACATAATTCTGATTTGTACAGAATACATCCTGTGACTTTGACCTCTCCAACTTTATATTGGGGTGATATATACAAATACACATATGGCAATGACACATTTATTCAACTTCATAAGAAAATAAGATGTAATAGCCAAATAATTTTTCTAGCTAACTTAAGTTTATCCCTTCAGTTATCAAAATTTTGAAACTTCGAGTTGGCTTTTGATGAAAACTCTTGAAAATGTCTCACATCTTACTCTTTAAACAAAACTTTATATGAATAGAAATATAGTTGGGTTGGGGGTTTTTTGTTGTTATTGTTGTTAACCTAGAGCCATTATTGTGGACATCAATCATTTTATTATGTATTCCTGTTTCAGTACATATAGCTACTTGCCCTAACACCGCCTGTTTCTCCAGACGGCTGTATATTTGGTAGTCTGCTGTCTCTCTCTCTGCTGTTAACCACTTTTCACAGCTGTTCTGTTATAAATCAATGCATTTATTTTTATATGTATTTTTAGTCTGGTAGGGGATATCTTCGCACATGGTAAGCTCATTTCTTCAGTAACAGCTGTTTTCTTCAGTAAACTGTTTTGCTATATATTTATATCTCAGGGATCATTTTTAATAGAACAGAAATACGTGATGTTGAAAATTTGTTGAAAGAAGTAAGAGAGTATGGAAAAGACACACAACCATCTTTGGAGCCTTGAAAATAATTAAAATATTCTATCTCCCAAACATGCCTCAAAAGGCAACATTTTTTTCTCATTTGAAAATAACACATCAGTATTTCTTTCCTCTCCCACAAAATGTAAATCTTAATTTTTATTATATGTGACTCATTCTCCTTATGAGAAGATTTTTAAAATTCTTTGTCTAGATCATCCTCAAGAGTAGACACAAGGTAACCAGAGGATATTTTATTGCCAGAAGCTCCTATGAACATAGAGGAAAGGTCCCATATGTTTCTGTAGTAATACTGGGGCCTAAAAAACCTTTGATGAAGCTAAAACCTGGGGCTTTTATAATTTTTTTATAGATTGTTGGTGGGATGAGGGAGTCCATTGAATGAGTTTTATCATCATTTTTATTACATTATCTTCTGAAGTGAGAAGTTCTTTTTTCTTCTTAAATTTTAGTTTTCAATTACAGTTTATGTTCAACATTATTAGTGTCATGTGTACAGCATAATGGTTGGACAATCATGTACTTTATCAAGGGTTGCCCCCAGTATTCCAGTACCCACCTGTCCCATACATAGTTATTATAATATTATTGACTATATTCCCTATGCTGTACTTTACATCCCCATGACTGTTTTGTAACTACCAAATTGTACTTTTCAGTTCCTTCATTTTTTTTCACCCAGCCCTTCAAATCCCCTCCCCTCTGGCAGTCATCAGTCTGTACTCTGTTATCTATAAGTCTGTGTTTTGTTCATTTATTTTGTTCTTTAGATTCCACATAAAAGTGAAATCATATGGTACTTGTCTTTCTCTGTTAGGTCAGAAGATTTATTTATCTTTTTAAAGTCCTAATGGTGTTTTTCTTCTTTTAGAAATTATAGAGAACAGGCTCCGAAAAGCAACACCCCAGGTATGTTATTAATGGCTGCCTCACCTCCATATACAATTAAGCAGTGTTTTGCCAAAGCAGAAGGATGAAAAATTGATTGCTTGGTAGCCTGAGTGAATCATGTACATACCCAAATGGAAACAGAGCATCTTATAATTACCAGTATAATTTCTAATTCAGATTGTTTTTTCCCTATGTCCTGTCAGTGGAAAAGATATAGACAAAAATTATTAGGAAATATTGGGTCTGTTTAATTTATCTTGAACTAATTCATTCTTTAAGTAAGTTGTATAAGTTATACCTTAGTCAGTGCCATCCTGTTAAACATTCACTAACAAGTATGTCACTTTCTGGGTTGAGAGTAAAATCAAAACATTTTTAAATTAATTTACAATAAATCAAGTTTAATCTATTTGGTTGGGCTGACTTCTGTGCAGATTTCAAACTCTCCTGATTTAAAAATTAAGAATTTATTTGCCTCACCTTACAGTCCACTGTGAATCAGCAGAGGGTCATTCAAGAATCAAGCTCCTTCTTTTGGCTCCTTCCTCATCCAGGTCCCAGATATTCTCCATTTGGCCAACAGAGGGGAATAAAGTACATGGAGAATTTTGCAGGAGTTATCATGCACCAGGCCTGAAAGTGGCAGCAGTCAGTTCTGCTGACATTTCTTTAGCCAAAATTCATAATGTGACTCTGTCTAGCCACATGGGAGCAAAAAAATGCAGTCTGACCCTGGGGCTGGGGGTAAAAAGAAAGTAGAATTTCTTGAACACATAATGAGCATCCTTTTGATCACCAGACTCCCATTTCACCTTTCTTCCCACACACAGAGCACACTTACCTCCTTCCCAATGAGGCCAACCCAAAGTCCCATCCAGCTCGAAGGCCAGGATTACTGAGTGATGATATGATACGGTGCTTTCCATCAGGTCTCATGGATGTGACTGCTCAAAGTTTGGTGACCTGACCATTAAAATGAAGAACTGCCTGCCCCCAACCCATACCAAGTATTTAGTGGCAAAGGAGGGACAGACTAACCTGTCAACCAGTTCAAGGGAAAATGGAAAGGCACACAACCCATTTACTACCTGAGCAAAGAGAACTCCTAGAGGCAAAAGATGGAAAAGACTGCAAGGAGCAGACAGTGATGAATAAGAAATAGGTTGAGATTTGATAGGTATTTAATGTAGTCTACTATGCATAATACTGAAACTGGTATTCTAAAGTAGGGTGTAGCCATTAAAATAATATAGAAATTTGGCATTGGCTTAGCAGTTTAGTGATAGTGGTAAGAAAATAGATAACCGAGCCTGGAAAGTGCACATCCTGTGTGCTAAAGATAGGAAAGACAGTTGGCAGTGAGAACATGGGAAGCAGGCTCCATGTCTAGAATTTGTAGCACCAGAGTATTACCAGTGGTTGGAAAGAATAAAAAGATTATTGATGCCTTTTTGGGAATGTACTATAAAAAAATAAGAGAATAGAAGCTTGAATGTGAGACTTTTATTTTTATGGTCGGGCCTTTTATTCACATTCTGTTGGCTATAACTCAGTTACGTGGGCGTATCTAATTGTAGCATGATGGTTGTGCACGCAGAAGGAAAAGAAGACTAGGCTTGGCAGACACATGGCCATCTGCCTCATTTACCATATTTTTACAAACATAGGATAACTAAACTAAAGCCATTCCCATTGTTTTCCTAATGAGGACACCCACATGAAAGAGGTGGTTGTTTTTGCTCAACTTATATTTATAGTATTTATCAATTTCTTTACACGTATGAATTTACTTTGCATAATTATAAAAATATTAGTCTAGAAATACTTATTCAAATCTTAGTTGTCACAAAACACTTTCATTAAACATTAACTCTTCATTTTCCATCACTAGAGCCACTTTTTGAGTATTATAAATTTATAGAGCACATATGATTTGTACAAAATATGGGACATTTGTACAGAAATTGGGATATTTTGAATCTGTACAGTGATATTTTCGAAATAGTATCGCACACTGTGTACACTTATTTATAAAACATGCCTTCGCTTTCTCAAAATACTTTATTGTTCATACAATTACAGTTGTCCCAATTTTCCTCCTTTTGCTTTTTAAGGAAATCTTTTAAAAGCTTTTGACAGTGACGTCTAAGTTGCAGTGGAAAAATTATACATCCCCAGGACTGCTTAATATATCCATATTGAACTTTTTGCCTCCCTGTTTTTGTTTTTGTTTTTTTTTATTTTATAAACATGCATTGATTCGTGTCTTTTCAAACTAGTGTATCTCCTACATAGTACTTTGTTAAAAGAATGTATTTGATAATTGCCGCGCCTAATGATTTAAGAGGCTGTAAGGACTAGAATACAAGTTGCCACTCTCTTACCTGGTGGATATAATTTCATGACTAAAGTAAAACTTTGTCTTGTATTTGAGTATATTTACTAATTTACTTTGCAGTTATAACTTTGTTCAGTAACAAAAGAAAGTGAAATCAATTATTAGACCTTTAAAAATAATCAACATTTTCAGATTCAATATCTTGGTAAAGATGTATATTTTCTGGCTACATCTGCTTCACACACAGATATAAGCAAATGGTATTTTTTAAGAGAGCACAGCATATATTAGGAGGTATACAATACACACCTACTTACAAGGATTAGGAAGCATGTGTCCCAAAATTGACTGCTTGTGTATATTTCAACTTCTGTTCCAAACTGTTCCTTGTTGGATTTAGATTTTAAATTGTGAGGCATTACATTTCAGCAAAACTAAATTTCTTCTTTACATTGATTTGAGAAGTTGAAATATATTTCTCTTATATGTTGTTTGGGTATATAGTTAATTTTCATTGTTTTTGCTTTATCCTCCCAGGTTTTCAGCAAAATGAACCTCAGCTGAAGAATCAGTTTATTAAGCATGCGCAAAGAGGGCCCCAAAACACAGCACAGCAGACACAGCTGCCTCTTCATCCTTCATGGGAAGCAAGCAGGAGGCGAAAGGAACAGCAATCTAAAATTGCTGTGTTTCAGGGGAAGAAAATTACATTTGATGATTGATTAGTATCTCTTTCTGTGAACTTTTCCATCTTAATTTTTTTTCTTTCTGTTTTTTCCAGCCCATTATTTAAACTCAAATTCGAGTAAGTCTCTATGAAGGAGGTGTAGAAATAAGTTTATTGTTGTCTTTATTCCCCTTTTTAAGTGTTTTCAAGTTATGTTTATTTTATATAAACCTTCCACAAATAAACTACATAAATTTTTTTTTTTAATATGCCCTGGCTGTTCCCTTTATAAAAGAATTATTAAATCTCAGATATCCCCATTGTGCTTATCATGAAATATACTTCACTGGATTAGGTCTGTGTTTCTTTACCTTGAAAATAAATGTTGAAATATATTTAAAATAATGGAAAAATCTGACAAACTGTAGCTATTTAAAATATAGATCACCTTTGCTGTAAGTTATTCTTGTTAGCAGAATTAAGGTTAAGATAATAATGTTTATTATGGGTATACAGATAATAAATTATATAAATAAATACTAATTTTTATTGTTTTAATTATTTGTGATCTTGTACTTTTTGATTGTTTTAGTTTTCCAGGACAGTCTTGGAATTCTGAATTATATTTCAATTATTTAGGCAATAAACATTGTTTAAATATGGCAACACAACCAAAAGTTGGTTTTATATTTCACTGAATATAAATATTTCTGTTAAATCCAGAATGTACAACCTCTAATTACATGGCATGTGCTCTTATAGAAATGTTCTTTGAGGAATCATAGGTTGGAATTGATATGAACAGATTTCGAAGGAAGTATGATTGAAAGAGCATTTCCACTGATGGATGAACAAAAAGGTTATGAGATGACTCACTGAGGAAGGACTACTCTATACATCAAAGTACTGTCAATAAAAGGAGAATATGATTTTTAAAATCTTTTCCAAAATTTCATTTTTGTTGCTCTAGGAGAAATTAAAGGTTCTTGGTTAACTAAATAAAAGTAAATTCTGTGTTTTCTATGCATTGGTGCTGTTAATGGCTAGGAAAGCCTTGTGGTTAGCAGGAATTCATAAGCTCTGGAGAGTCATTTCCATCTTTCCAAGAGCTTAAAAATTTAGATGACTTCAGCAATGGAAATTTAAGAGACTATGCAGAAAAAAATTAAGGCTGTGTTGAATGGAAAATTTGTTTTTTCTTCTTTTTAAAATTTTATTTTGACAATATCAATTATGTAAGATTAAGATTAATTTCAGTTGAAATTTTAATTATGAAAGTTTATTGAAAGAAAAAGTGAAAGAACAATGTCTCTCTGCCTACCCAGATTTAGCCAAACTGAGAAGTTGAGAGCACTATCTTCCAAACTGCCAAGTCTGCTCAAGACCTTTTACCCTAATTGCAAGGAGTTAGGGGCCAGCTACTAAATTAGAGAGAACCCACACAAGATCACTCTCACTTCTGGCACCAACTACAGGTTCCGAGATGGGGCTCAGGGTGGGGGAATACTGTTAAATGTACCCTGTACACTCTCAGGTTCAAAAATTTGCTGGAAAAGCTCCCAGTATTCACTGAAACCTATTATATTCACAAAGTTTATTACAGGGAAAGTGAACAAGTTGTAAACAGTCAAAGGAAGAGATGCATAGAGCAGCATCTCTGAGGGTTCTAAAATGCAAAGCTGCTCTTGTTCTCAGAACCCATTAACCTGGCATCAGTATGCAGATTGCCAATCTGAGAAGCTCACTCAAGCTTTAGTGTCCAGAATTTTTACTATGCCTTCAACATCTAAGGCTGATTGCTTAATTGCCCACATGATTGTTTCAGGTGGACTGCTAACCACATAACCCAAAGCCTCTATCCTAAATCACATGGTTTGTCTTTTTTAGTGTAGCCAGCCCCTACCCCAAAGATAGTCGTAGCAGGTATGACATATATTGCTTTCAGGAAGCTGAAGGCAAAAACAGTTCTCTTTGGACAAGGCCAAGTTCTTCACTATATCCTGCACTAGAAATTCACTTTTACTGCATTTTCTTTTTCCTTGGCTTTCATCCTCCCTCTGCTCCCTTCCTCCTTTCCTCTTCCTCATCCTTGTCTATGTATCCTCTTTCTGTCTTCTTCCTTTTCTTTCTCCCCCTCCATCTGCTTTCTTGTTCTCACTCTTTTCTCCCTTCATTTTATTTTTCCTTCTCCTTTGTATTCTCTCATTAGAAAGAGTCATTCTCTATTCCCATGTATTACCACAATCCAGCTATCAAGTACTCAGATTTTTCCAATTGTCCAGTGTCTTTTTACAACAACAGAAAAGCCAGCACCCTAGCATATATTCAGTTGTTATGTCTGATTAGCTGGGAATAGTTTCTTTCTTAGAATCTCATGACACATTTTTCAAATGCACAGAGGAGTTTATTTTGCATTTTCTCTTTATTTGGGTTTGCCTAATGTTCCCTTTGTTAAGTTCAAGTTAGGCACTTTAGGCGGGAATATCACAGAAGGGCTGTTGTGTTTATCCCAGTGCATGTTAGGAGGAGTCAGGTGATGATGTTGGTGTGGCCTAGCACTGGTGATGTTAATTTTCCTTGTTTCAGGTGGTGTCTGTCTGTGAGGTTTCTCTACTGCACAGTTACTCTGCTGGAAAGTTTTTCTCTTTGTAATTAACAGTTATCTTGTAGGGAGATACTTTGAGACTATATACTATTCTAAAACTTAAATGGACTAATTCTAACATTCATTCATAGAAACAATTACTGCTGTAGTAGGTGATTTAAAAAAAAATTCTTGGTTCTACAATTAACAGGTTTTTTATTTTAAGGAGGAGATTTCCTTTTCTCCCCTTATTCAATTTTTAAATTATTTCAGTATGACCTCATGGATACCTCATCTTTCTATTTTATATTTTTATTGTGTATTTTTACTGTTTTATTGTGTCTATTATTGGCTTATAAGGTTCACAATAGACATCTTTATCACTGTCTGACCTCAAGCAGTAGTACACCACTTTACATATGGTCTAAGTACCTTAGTATGCACACTTCAATTTGCTTCCTCCCAGTCCTTGTACTATTTGTTTTTCACATGTGTTTTATTTCTACATGTAACCCTATAATACATTGTTACTTGTCTTCTTACATGTTTATGTTTTTCTCTATTTCCTTGAACATCTGGAACATTAATAGTTGTTTTACTGATCTTGTCTGTAGTACTCAACTTGGATCAATTTTTATCCCGAGAGGACATTTGGCAACATCTGGAGATACTTTGGGTGTAACAACTGGGGAAAGGGACTATCTAGTGGATACAGGCCAGGGATACTGCTAAACATTCTACAATATATACAACAAAGAATTATTAAGCTCAGCATGTCAACAACGCTAAGGTTGGGAAACCTTGATCTAGGGTTCCTTTGGCCCCACTATTGAAGAGCTAACTAATGCTTTGTTTATGAGGAAATCTTTCTGTTGTGTCTGGTGAGACACAGCTATTCCTGGGACTGTGTAAGTTTTGGGACGGTTCCACTAACCCCTGCCTAGTGATTTTCCCCCCTGGCCTTGGTAGATTCTTCATACACATTACACAGAGCAGTCTTACACCATCAACTTGAGGGGGCCCTTCTATAGCTCTAGAGAGCACTTTCTTTCTGTGCATCTTCTTTGTCTATATTTTTTCATACAGAATGTCATCACATTAGCCTATCTAGACGTCTTTTCAATAAGGCCACTGAGTTATTTGGGGGTTCCTTTCCCTAGCACTACAGTTTGGAAACTTCAGGTACTGAACTTAAGCTCTCAACTCATTTGTTTTCTTTTGGTTATTAATATCCTGTACAACTTTTTGTTCATTGTCTGAAAATCTTTGTTTTACATATTTATTCAGTTTTCTAGTTGTTTAATGTAGAAGGGCAACGTTTCTGGTACTACATAGTGATCAGAAATAGAAGTCCATTGTTTAACACTCAACTTGTCCTTAACCAGTGGGAGCCTTCTCAGGCTATCTCCTGTGTCCTTTTGACATTTATTATCCACAGTATATTTACTTATTTTCTCAACCCTAGAATACAAAGAAGTTGGTTTTAGAATTGCTAATGATGCTTCTGCAAACAGAAGTCTACTAACCAAAATTTAATATATGTTTAAAGTTCTTTTTTCTTTAGCCTGAGGGCATATGGTCTTAAAACTTAAGTTTGAAAGTTATCTGGGATGATTTCAGTGAAAATGGTAGACTAAGGACACCCAGAAATTCTTCTTGCCATTAAAAGCAATGAGAAAACTGCCCATATTGTCAGAATCAACTTTTCCAGAGCTAAGGAATTAACCAAAAGGAATATTTTTCAAGCAAAATTGGCTCAATCTTGATAAGAACAGTGGTCTTCGTGACATTTTAACTTGTCCTGTTCTCATCCTCCAGTTCCCATATCCATGGTCGCCTTGAGGACTAGCAGCTGACAGTCACTGGGGGTGGCAGAACAGGGTCGGACCTTCAAAGATACATTCTCTTAGAATTGTCATTATTTCACCACTTTGGGATAACTTTGGGAGTTCCCTGGAAGACCTTGCCTGAAAATGTGTCTTGACTAATAAGAGCTTTCCCTGTGCATAAAGCCCTTCTGAGATCACTTTTTTGAAAGCAGTGCTTTGTTTAACATCACAGCTGCCTGAGGCAGTGAGTAGCAGTTGGGGCGAACAAGAAGTTCATCAAAAAGCTTAAAAGGAAATTCAAAGAAGTCAGTGTCCTTAGGAAATCTGGTAAGTCCTGACCCATCTCCTGGAACTAGGGAAGTCACATGTATGAAAGAGCACATGCATGTTCAAGAAAAAACTGAGGATACCCTAAACTCTCACCTCTGGTTGGCCTGCACAATATGTTAATATATTTCTCACTGATAGAGAACAAACTTACATGTCAAAAGGACACAGGAGATAGTTTATACAAGAAATGAAAGTTAAGGTGGAATTGTCAACTTTCTAGCTAAGTGTTAAAGGTGTACCCCAACATACACACAGGGCCCTATGAAGAAAATCAGGAAAGTATTGATTCCAGGCATTTAAGGAACACTCTGTCCAGTTATTAGTGTACTACTAAGCAAATGAAGCAAAGGCTTTAGTGGTCATACACAACAAAGAATACTGACTTCACAAAAGTAATTCAAAAAAGTCACTAAACAAAAACCAGTAACAACCAGACATGGGGAGAGGGGAATATCTGATTTCTGGGGTCTCAATATTGTATTTAAAGTGCCCAGTTTTCAAGAAAACATTGTAAGACATGCAAAAACAAAGTATGGCCCATATGCGAAGGAAAAAGCAATCAGTGGAATCTGCCGAGGAAGCCCAGACTTTGGATTTATTCAGGAGGGACATTAAGCTACTTTAAATATGTTCAAAGAACCAAAGGGAATCATGTCTAAAGAACTAAAAGCCTGAGAACAATGTGTCACCAAATAAAGAATATCAATAATGAGGTAGAAATGATAAGTAACAAAAAAACTTATGAGCTGAAAAATACAATAACTGAAACAAGATTCAACAGAAGAGCTCAATAGCATGCAAAAGAAAGATATGGTGAACCCAAATATAGGTCAGCTAAGATTATTCAGTCTGAGGAACAGGAAAAAAAATCAAAACAGATGCACAAAGACTTGTGGGATACCATCAAATGTACCAACATATGCATAATGGGAGTCTCGTGTGACCCCACATTTCCACTCAGCTGTATGCCTTAAGAGAATTGAAAATATATTCAAACAAAAACTTGAACATGAATGTTCATCATAACATTCCTAATAGCTAAAAAAAAAAAGAGGAAACAACCCAAATACCCAACTGATGACTGCGTCAACAAAATACATAGTAAATATAGTTGCCTCTTGAACACAGGTTTGAACTGCGTAAGTCCGTTCAATATGCAGTTATTTTTAATAATGGACTGTGCATGGTGATCTTT